ATTATTATAATAAATTATAATAAGTTATAATAAGTTATAGTAAGCTATAGTAAGTTATAACAAGCTATAATAAGTTACAACAAGTTACAGCAAGTTACAATAAGTTACAACTTATAATAAATTACAGTAAGTTGTGATTTTTATTAAATTTTTTAATAAGTTATAACATATAGTTACAACATAAATGTTGTAATATAGTAATTGCAATTATTATCTTTAGTAATTACAGTTATCATCTTTAGATAATACTTTCTTTTTATATTCTTTAAATATTATATAACTAATATTTGTGAGCAATTTATATGTGATTTGAGTTTTTTTATTTCTCTTCTATTTAGTAAGATGGATGGCAGATATATTATTATTAACTTTTATTAACTTTTCTTTATCAAATATTAAAAAGATAATATTTTAAATAATAAAAGTATAATCATTATATTTACTATAATATTTTGCTCTTATTTAAAATTATTAAATAAAAATAATTAGTAAAAAATCTATAGATTTATATGTTACTTTATGAATATAAATATTTATATATTATAATTCATATTATCAATATAATCTTTAATATTTTCATTCAAATATTTCTCTAGTATTTGTTGATATTTCTTAAAGATTGAAAAGAGAATTATAGAAATTAATTCTTTAACTATCTTTTTATATGTTTACTATATAAAATAATAGAAAAAAAAACTTTAATAAATCTTGCAAATTAATTTTTGACTTTAAAAATAATTAAAGATAAGTATCTTCTAGAATTTTTCAAATAGTTTGTTGAAAATAATTAATTTTTTAATTAATTTGATTTGTTCTTATATTTAATCATCTAAAAATTGATAAAGATAATATATACTCTTGATTTTTTTATTTAGAATATTTATTATATGATCAAATTTTTTATAGATTAAAGATTTTTTATTATTTGATACTTGAGTGAATAGAAATTAAGTTAATAATGAAAAATATCTAATATTATTAATCTTTATTTTATCACTAAATAATAAATAATTATAATTAGATGAAGTAAATTAATATATAGAAAAATAAGATAATAAAAGAGAAAAAACTATAGTAAGCTCTATGATTTCTTTATATTTGCTTTTATTATCTATTATATATAATAAAAAGAAATTAGCAAAAATATTCATTTATAATATTTTTATACAGTTTTTTATAGATATCATTTACTAATTTGGTGAAGATAAAGTAATAGGTAAAATAACAAATAAAGTAGCAGGTAAAGCAGTAAATGAAATAATAGATAAAATAGCAAATAAAAAACAGATTATATAAATAAAGCAATAGGTATAGGAGAAAATAGAGTTAATTATTAAAATTTTGAACTTATTGAAGTAAGATTAAGAAATTTAATTAAAAAATTCTTATAATCTTTACAATTATAAAAAAATTTTAAAAGATCTTGCCTATTTTTTATAACTATATGACTAAATAGATCTTTTATTTAATCAAAAATCTATATTTCTAGTTGTTTTATATTGAATAATATTATATTAGTTAATTTTAAAGAACTATCTTTAGAAGATTTCTTAGATTATCTTAATAATCTATAAAAATATTTGAACATAATTATTAAAAAATAATAATAATAAATAAAAAGAAATATAGTAATAAATAAAATAATAAAAAAATAGAAAAGAGACCTGTTATTTATGTTATTATAATATAAACTTTTAGTAGAATATTAATTAGTTATATATTATTAGTTGCTTTATATTATAATATGATTAAATAAATAATTACTTATATCTTATTGAATATTAGCTTTAGAAAATATTATTTATAGATATTTTTAGAAGATTTTATAAATATATAGCAAAATTAATAATACTATCATAATAAAATCAATATTATAATACTAGCTAAAATAATATTTAGATCATAATAAAACTAATATAAGTATTATAATAAAAATATTATTTATATAATCTCTAAAATATATAAAAGTAATATATCTTAACTAGTAAAATAAGATAATTCAGTATAGTTTAGTTAGTTAATTAGTTTAGTTTGAGTTTTATAAGTTTAATTTTTAACTCATATTTTAAAGTAAGTTATAATTTAAAAAAAATTCTAAAGAATATCTCTTATAGAATAGATCTTGATTAAGATCTATTATTTTATTTTAATAAACTAATTATTATATCTAACTTGAAATTATACTTTGAAATTGAATTATATTTTAGCTAGTTATACTAAGAATATTATTATTACCTGTCTTTAGATAAATCTTAAGATAATAATATTTACATTCTTATTAATAAATTGTAAAAACTTTTTTAATCTTATTATAAAGTACATGATTACTTTTATCATATATTTTTGATATATTAAGAATTAATATTCATTTCTCATATTAATATTTACATTAAAAAGATAATAACTTTTTGATGTTCTCTCTGTGAAAAATAATTCTAAAGTGGCTATCAATTTAATTCAGATTGTGATAAAGAATTCTTTGTGAATTAATTTGAAAATTAGTAGAAGATTAAGATAATTAAAAAAATAATATTACAACATATCAAAGTAAATCCAACTAGAGAAATTAAAGTAGAAAGAAAAAGACTCTTTGCTTAACTATTTACTAAATTACATCTTGAAGATTATATTAATTCTGATTATCAAATCATCTGAAAAAAATTTTATCATTTTTATCAAAAGTAATACATGATAAAACTTAAATTAAGACAAGAAAAGAATTTATAATCTTAATTAAAAATAAAATTAATCTATTAACAGAATAAATGCAAACTTATCTCTATTAATTGCAATAAGAAATATTTGAGTTCAAAAATAAAAGATATAAATATTTAACAAAATAAAAATAAAGAAAATAATAAAATCTACTTATAGAAGTACCTAATTTAAGTTAGTCAAAATCAAACAAAAAATTACTTAATATCTTACAATAATTTAAAAAATATAATTCAGATACTCTTGAACAAATATTAATATAGTTATCACTTAATAAATATTTAAAAATACAACTAATTATTCAAGATATATCTGTTATTTCAATACTTATTTTATCAATATCACTTGAAAAAGAAGAAGAAATAAATAAAGATAAGAAGAATAAAATATCATCTTTATCAACTACTAATTATAGATTTGAAGACTTGATGAATAGAATTGCTGAGGCATTTTTTGTAAAATAAAATAATTATGCATTACATATAGTCTGTTCATTTTATTACATGTACATTGTATAGAGTATGATCATAGCATAAAAATAACTAGGGCAATCACAAAGTGGTTAAATGTATTGTCTTGATTAATATAAATACATGAGAATCAATACTATAGAAAAGATTAATTGATAGATTGGTAAATCATACAGTATGTGACAAAAAAACTTAACTATACTTAATTCATTATAAATTCATGAATATTGCATCAAATTTAGTGATCAATATATCATTTAAAAGCAAAAAAGTTATAGAATAAAACTTATTAGGCTTAAAAATTGATTTATTTATCTTTACTTTTAATAATTAACTTACAATAATATTTTATTGAATTTATTAAATTATTTAAAATGATTTTTGAAATAGGATCTCATTCTTTTATCAAAAACTTCTTTAAAATATTCAAATTTTTTGATATTTATTTCTTAATATTATTCTTAATAATAGTTTATAAATTTTTTATAGGATTAAAATCAATTTGGATAGTTTAAATATTAAACAAATATCTTTATTTTAATAATATAATAAATTATATATCTTTATTTATGAGCAATTAATAATATTTTAATAGTGAATTTTACAAGAATTTATTTAATAAATATAGTAAATAAATCTGTTATTTAATTTTAATTTAATAAAAAATAATATAAATTAAGCTAAAATTAAAGATATTTATTTATTATCTAATATAATCAGAAAATAGTTAAGTTTTTTTGTCACATACTGTATATTGTAATAACTCTTCACCGATTAACCTATCCCGATCTGTTAAAAATTTGCGATCTTCCTTGCTCTTTATTGCACTACAATAGAACCGCATATCTCTTTCCAATTCCTCACGGAAGCATCCCACGGCCCACCTATTTTTCTCAGCCTCAGTAATAATCGAAAATTCTTCAGGATCCATTTTATGTTCGATGGCATATTGATAAAGGCGGGTTTTGTTTGATATCTTTACCTGAGTTTCCGCCATACCGTCCTGTAGGATATAATTATCAGACTTTATCCAAGGATCAAGCCCAGTTTTTTTCTTATATATTTTATATAACTTGGAACGAAATCAGTTAATTTGGAATACCAATCCAGATATTCGGGGGTTAGTAGTACCTTATCAGACTTGGCTTGTGTATCCATGTTGTCATTTATGTAATTTCAAAGTAATTTAATTTCTCGCATTGGATATCACATACTAAAAAATATTATTTCCTGACCACTCATAAGTTCGTGTCCAGATATGTACAGTTGACGAGTTTTTTTAATGCGTCTCCGAGTGTACGTTAACTGCATTACTATATACACTCCACTGACAATAAGAGTAATAAATTGGCGGAGTTTATGCAGTAATTTTAATTTCGCGCTGTTCACATTTAATATAGTATGATCCAGTTTCATATTTACCTTCTATAACTTCTTCTTCATCATGGTCTAATTTGCATAAAGGGCATAATACCCCATCAGTAATTCCGTAACAATCGATATTTTTATCATTGAATTCATAATATATGTCAGGATATTGCTCCAATGTTTTGTTGCGGAAATTAGCATGGATTATTCTGTTTTTCAGATAAGGTCTTAGGTTGAGATATAGGTAATCTATTTACCTTAGTTTCTGGTGAGGTCTCCTTAACAGTGGATTTCGAGACAGGTGGTGCACCTACCTTGTTTTCTGATACATCGAGTTCTATTTTTGGAGAAAGACTAAAATCAGAAGATAAATTTTCTTTATAAGTGCGGGACAGATTTGTCTCGCAGTCATGTGATTTTTTGGAAACGGAGTTGATAATATTTTGAATATTAGTATCGGTTAAACATGAAATAGTAGTTGCACTATAAGATCGAACTTGTTTAATTTTATCTTTACCTATTGTTTCGAATAGAATATAAATTTTAATAATTCTCTGAGTTTTCTTACGTAAATTTTCACGTGTAATGCCTGAGAGATGTGAAATCATTTTATCATAAATTTGACCTCTTGCTAGATCATTAGCTCTTTTATTATTTTTGCAACCAGCTCCAATTCCCAAAGGATTAGACAAAATTTCACTAACCATTTTTTCAAAGTCCTTCCCGTAATAATACCAGCATAAAATTTCTTCCTGTTTAGCTTGGATTGTATTTTTTTCCGCCAAACTTGCTTTCTGGTATAAATGAACTAAGCTCTGTACAGTAACAGTTTTCTTATCGTTCAAATAAAAAGATTTCTTAATTTCAATGCTCTCTTCTACGATAAATTCTGTTAACTCTTGTATTAAACCTTGTTCTACCATTTGATTACGGGTAACTTTTTGATTAATAGGTGTTTGTTCCGATTTATGTGCCTTGGCACTAGCTTCGCTATTGGAAATTCTTGACAAAGTCGAGTCAATACTTGCTCCCTCGTGCTGAGGATTCGATTGGAGGTTTTTCTGTTCACGGAGGGAGTATCTTGAGTTTGAAATTTCTTTTCCCGGTTCCTCTCCCTTATTTCATTACTAACCCTTTCCTTATTTTTCTCATATAAGAAATCGTTAATTTCTTTTTCTTCCAATGATTTAGGTTCTGCAGAGATATGAGATATGGTGATTCCCGATTCTTGACATATATCAGAATTGCCGGAGGCAGTCACTTCGTGGCTAGATGTGTTATCGGATATGTTTTCTATCTTTTCAGGATTATTGCCAGAATTCTTCTCTAAGGGCACGGAATCAATAAAGTGATCCTCGATAGGTGGTGGAGTAGATAATTGAGATGTTACTGGTAATGATGAACTGGTTGGTAAATCATTATTCTTGCTAGCTAAACTAATACTTTGGTCTCGCTTTTCGATTTTATCAACGGCTCGTTCTAGCTTAACAATTTTAGCTTTAAACTTGGCATTGTCTTCTATGATCTGTTTGAGTTTTGAGTTTTCGTGCTTAAGCTCAGCATTCTCGGCCATTAGCTTAGCATTTTCTTGTCTGAGTAAATCTAGTTCGGAAGACATGCTTGATATTATGTGTTTTATATATTTGCAGATTTATTTAAATTTGTAATGAAAAGATCACGTCGATTTATGATAGTAGACATATCCGGCTGTGCAACACGAACCGGCGATCGAGTGGAAAAAATAAAATCTACGCTAACCCATATTTGTTTTGCTGTTATGGCAATCATTTTCTGCATGCGCATTATGGTAATGGTGGGTCTCCAAGAGAGACCGTCCCATATTTGGAAATCGTTACACAATTGACGAAGAAATTTTTTTATACACTTTACAGTACTTATTCGGAAGGCTAGCGTAACCCATCCTGACTATGAAACGTCATCAAGTGCAT